TCACACTCTTTGTTCCTTTAGATAAACATAAAATCATTCTCTGCAATTATTGTTATGGGGGAAATTCAGCCTTAGAGCACAAAGAAAGGTGCCGGTGAAGGGTTTACTGTTAGGAAGAATGTCTGGCTGTGTCCCAGATACATAAAAAGTCTCTGGGTTATACAAATGGTCAAACATGCCAGAGTCACCTTGGAAGAAAGGCTGGACAAGCTCATTCCCTGAAATCAATCATTGTTTTTGTGGATCACAACGTTCAGCCCACAAGCAGTCATAAAGATGGTGCAGTACTGGGCTACATTTCATTCAGATATACATGCAGTTGCTGTGAGTCAGGGGCCAGCCTGACAGTAATTGACAACAACATAGTCATTGGAATTCTTTGATGGAAATTGGGTGAAGGACATACAGGATGTCCCTTGAATATTTACTTTCACTTTTTATTTTTTAATTTCAGAAATGCATAAATATGCTTTATTGTAGGATAACTTTAAAAAGTGTCATTCTTTCTATTAGTCAATGAATGCAGTTCTTTTCTACAACAGGGAGCTTTTTTTAAAATGCACTTTAGCATTGATATCTATTGTGAACAAGAATAGTTGTCACTTAAAATACCAGATGAAACTCTGACAATTTTTCCTTTTCATGTACATAGCCTTTCTCATCACTCAACCTACTATTTTTCTATTATCTAATTTTCCTTTACTTTCCCCTCCTTTGCCATTCTAGTAACCATCCTATTTGTATAATTTCCTTAGATCTTTTACACTTTAATCGTAGAATCCTACAGTATTTGCCCTGTATTTATCTGGCTTCCTTCACTAAGAATAATGTGCTCTAGTCTCATTGATATTAGTCATTATTTCAAGAAGTCATCATTCTTTATTGTTGCATGCTACTCCATTGTATGTATGTACCAGAATGTATTTATCCATTCATCTGTTAATGGTCACTTAGATTGATTCTACTTCTTTGTATTGAAAATAATGCTGCAATGAATGTGTATGCATATATGTTTGTGTCCCAGCTCTTATTTTTTGTATATATAACTAGTAATGGAATTGATAGAGCAGTCAATGACATTTCTAACTTTTAAAGGCTGTGTTATCTTATTTCCCACAGTGGGTATACCATTCCACAGTTCTACCAACAGTATATAAGACTTCCAATCTCTCCACACTCTTACCAGCACTTTTGTTTTCTGTCTTATTGGATTTAATATTGTTGGAATGAGATGATATTCTATTGTTTTTATTTTAATCTCTCTAATATTTAATAAGCAGCTTTCTTCATGCGTATTGGCCTCCTCAATGACTTCATTGAGTCTGTTTATGGTCTTTTCTCACTTCTTAGATTGTCTTTTTGTTAAAGTACTGAAACTGTCTATAAATTTTAGAGATTATTCTGATATATTATTTCCTTTTCTCCTCAATTTATAAATTCTCTTTTCATTCTTTCAGAGACTTCTTCAAGCCACATAGGAATTTAATTTTTAGAAAGTTCCGTTTGTCTAATTTATCTTCTGCTACTGTTTTGGTTATTGACTGGAATTTAATACCATAAATTAGGGCCCAAAATTTGCCTCTAGGGGGCACTAGGGTCTTAATTAATAGGAGAGTTGTGCTGTTAACCCAAAGGCCCGCCTCTCTTGCAGTTCAAACCCACCAGAGGTCCCATGAGACCTACTGTGTCATTTACAGCCTCCGAAAATCAGTGGCAAGTCGGTTATGAGATGATTACGACTCAAATGCAATGTGTGTGAAAGAAAAAGTGAGATTTTTGCTTCTATTTTTTTCTTTGATGATATCTGTAGTTTAAAGCTTTACATTTAATCCATCTTGGACTTCGCTTTGTATATAGTATGAGGTATGAATCTTGTTTCTTTCCTTTTTACTTTCAAATGGACACCCTGATCTGGCAACACCACCTGGTGAAGAGACTCTCTTCCTCACTTAATGTTTTATAGTTCTAAGTCCAATATTGAAGGTGTTCTAGTGGCCTAGTGGTAAGAAGCTGCACTTCAAGCACAAAAGCATGGCGTTCAAATTCACCAGCTACTGTGCTGGAGGATATGTTATTTTCTCCCATGAGATTTACTGCCTCTAAAAACCTACTGGCGGTTCCATTATGAGTCAGTTTCAACTCGGTAGCATGCA